TTTTTTTTTTTTTTTTTTTGAGACAGGGTCTCCCTGTAGCACCAGCTGACCCGATACTTGCTATGTAGACCTGGCTGGCCTCGATCTCACAGAGATCTGCCTGGTTCTGCCTCCCAAATGCTGGGACTGAAGGCCTGTGCCACCACACCCAGCATATGCTAGAATTTTTAAGTCTCAAAGCAAAAGTTAAAGTACAGGTGGGACCTCAGTCATGGAAACAGGACACTCAGTGCCAGACAACTGACATTTGGAAGACACTGCCCTGAAAGAAGATGCAGAGAATACTGAGATTCAGCAACCATATTCAGTCATTCACCATTCAGTCTAATAGCATGTAACATTTATTTATTGTATACATGTGTGTATGTGTGTATATCTGTGTGTTTACTCACAAATGTGGAGGTTGACAGCAGGAGTCTCTCTCAATTGCTGTTCACCTCATTTTTTTTTGAGATACGGTCTCCTACTAAAACTAAGGCTTGCCCATTCAGCTAGGCCTGCTAGCCAGGAGGCCCCCAGGCCTGTGGTCCCCCTCCTCAGTGCTAGGATTATAGGCTCTTGGTACTGGGCCTGTTGTTTTAAGTGGGTGTTAGAGGACACAGCCAGCACTTTACCAGCTCCCCATCACCTTCCAGTAGCACTTAAAAACAAAAAGAACCCAAAAAAGTTTTGTTGATTTTGCAGATTCCAGGAAGAAAAAAAGAAAAAAGGAAAGAAGAATGCTGTGTTGGAATATTTCAACTTTCTTCAAAGGATGACACTGTGGATCCCAAGGTAGGTCACAGGCTGGTTCACACTGACTAGATGAACATACTTTTAATAGAGCAGTAACTAACCATTTTCATCCTAGAATTTCCCTTTGGTAAAGGTTTCTCGCTGTTTGTGACAGACAGCATTGTATTGTCACTTACTTAATTGTTCAGGTTGTAAAAGGAAATTTATTGTGTGGCCTACCTGCAAGACTCTATGGAGATATAGCTGTTTGACAGGTCAAAAAAGAAAATACCAGATTATCACAGTAGAAATTTATATGTGAGTTGCTGGGAGGAAGGGGATAAGACCCACTAGACTTGACTGTTAACAGGTATGAATCACAAAACAAATTATTAACATGATAGTGATCAGAGGCTGTGAAAAAAATGTTTAGTTCAACAACAAAATGCTGTTTTAAACTGTCTCTCTGAAATGTATGGACTTTCCTACCAGGACAAGGGACAAAATAGGTAGTTCAAGGCTTTTCTAGGTCTAAGATTTCATTCATTCTGCACACACCAGGATGACCAAAGAAGCAGATAAAGGTTCTTAGTATTTTTTTTTCCCTTTCCTGTTTTCTTTGCATTACAGGAAAGCAAATTAATATAATTTGGGGGTAGCTTTGATGTATCCAAGTTATTTTTTCCCTACTTGTATTGTAATAGTCAAATAAGCTAGCTCAAGTTCTGTTCCTGCCAGACAAGAAGTTCAGCGAATGCAGGAAGTCCTGGTCACCTAGCAATGGCCATTTCTCTTCCTTCCTCCCCAAGGCATTAGTATGGGACAGGGTTTGCTGAAGGTGTGAAGACGGTGGCGATGGGCAGTCTATGGTTCAGCCCAGAAGGATCAACAATGGCTAAGACACCTCTGTCCTCAGGTTCTTGGTCCTGGATACCATTGGGGAGACCTCCTCCCAGCTGTCTCTCCTCAGACCTCTTTCCCACCAACCCCTCTGTTTCCAACTCTGAGCTTGCCATGCTCCTCCTTTGGAGGGACCATAGCACACATTTTCATCTCTATGACAGTCAAGGTTTCAGGCACATTGTTGCTTTAAAAAAAAAACAATGGGAAGTTTTGCTGATAAAAAGAGTTAACTGCATCTGGTCATCTATCCTGGTTTGATGGTTAATCTAAACTGTCCACTTGATTGAATTGAAAAGTGTCTAGGGGATGAGTACAGTACAGCTCTCGGTGTGTCTCTAAGGGTGTTTCCCCAGATTAACCAAGTGGGGAAGACCCACACTGAATGTGGGCCACACAATACAGAATAAAAGGGGAAAGAGGAAGTCAGCTAGCTGGGGGGAAGGGAGCTGTCTCTGGCTCCTTCCTTCCTCTCCATCCTCCCTCCCATCCTTTTTCCCCCTCTTTCTCCTTCCTGGTCTCCATGAGGAAAATCAGTTGCTGTTCTCTGCCGTGCCTTTCCCACCATGATGGTCAAAAACTATGAGACAAAATAAATCTTTCTTCCCTATCCTAGTTTGGTTTCTGTTGCTATGACCAAATACAATTTAGGGGAGGAAAGGTTTATATTTCCAGGCAACAAGCTATCATCAAGGGAAGGCGGGACAGAGGCAGAAACCATCAAGGAATGTTGCTTAGCAGCTTGTTCCTGGTGGCTTGCTCAGCTACCTTTTCTTTCTTTCTTTCTTTCTTTCTTTCTTTCTTTCTTTCTTTCTTTCTTTCTTTCTTTCTTTCTTTTTTTGTCTTTTTGAGACAGTGTCTCTCTGTAGCCCCAGCTGGCCTGGAACTCACTATGTAGACCAGGCTGTAGACCAGGCTGTAGACCAGGCTGGCCTCCCTGCTTCTGCCTCCCGAGTGCTGGGATTAAAGGCGTGTGCCACCAGGCCCAGTGGCCTAGGGATGGTACCACCCACAGTGGACTGGGCCCTCTATAGCAATTAGCAATCAAAAAAAGTACCTCACAGATATGTCTACAGGTCAATCTACTTGAGGAAGTTCAATTGAGGTTCCGTCTTCCCAGGTATGTCAAGTTGACAACCAACATTCCCTTAAAATTGTTTCTCTCAAGTTTTGTCGCTAGAGCAGAAAACCTGACTAATACACTTAGTGCAAAATCACACCAAAAAAATCATATTATGATTGTTATTGTTGTTTAGTGCATCCCAGATAAAAGTTTGAGAATGACCTCCCTGTGGGAGGCAGAGAAACCCAGGGACCAAATGGGAGATGAGAGAGAGAGAATCTTTCAGTGACTTTTGCTTTGCTGACAATGTCCTTTATCTCTTCAGGGACTATGATGAAAGACAGGGGCCCAGAGGGTGGCCCTGAATCCTGATTGTCTCTCTGCCAGGGAGACATCTGTGGTCAAAGATGACTTTGAGGAAAGTAGCTGCTGGTTACTTTAACTATGGCAAATCAGAGACCTCATGATATGGAAGTCATCCCATCAGGTTGTCATTTCCACATTAAACTGTTGAAGATCAACAGGGAACATCTGGTCACGCACATCTGTAACACTCAGTGTCTGCTGGACAACTTGCTAAAGAATGGCTACTTCTCAGCCGAAGATGCAGAGATTGTGTGTGCTTGCCCCACCCAGCCTGACAAGGTACAGTAAGGAACACTGGTGCTGACAGTTGACCTGGGTGGATGGCAGTGGTTCCTCCCTACTGACCTTTGCAAAGAGCTTGAGGAAATTTAGTAGATTGGGCCACATTTCACACTGAAATCTTTGTGGGGGGTTGTTTCTGTTTTGTTTTTTTTTCATCCCCCTGCCTCAGCTTCTGTAGTATAAGATAACTGGTAGGCACTCATACTGGGGTCTTGGTAGAATATAAATGCTCAAATTACAAGCTTGCTGCTCAAGCAGTTCACTTCTGTGTGAAGCCTTCTGTGCTGTGCGTACTGATCCCCAAGTAAATTTTAAGTGTGCTTTAATTGAGTAGGTGACATACATTCAGTGCCTCTATACCCCAAGAACACTCACAACAGGCTAAGACTCGGGAAGAGTCACCTACAACGCCAGATTTAGGAGGGACTGCTTTCCAAGGTGGATCTCCATTGAAGATTTTTCTATGCTCCACTGTAGGAAGTCTAACAGCTTTTAGCTCCACCTAAGCTTGGGGATGTCTTCTGAAAAGTAGAACGGGCCTTAAGTCCCTGTTTAGAGGAATAACAGAGGCTGTGAGTGATTCCTCATCAGCTTCTAGGGGAAGCCCCATAGCAAGCTGGTGTGCTTTGGTCTCTCTTAATTTTTTTTTTCTTTTTTGGCTTTTTGAGACAGGGTCTGCCTCTGTAGTTCAGGCTGGGCTGAAACTCTCAATCCTCTTGTCTTAGTCCCCTGAGCGCTAGGATTACAGGTATATGCCACCATGCTCAGCTCTTGATTATTTTCCCCGCATTTTTAATAAAAAGGTCCATTTGAACATATGATTTGTATGGGAGTCTGTTGCCCTCCTGCAAAGTGGCCCAGCTGCCCTATTCCTCCTGCCCCAGGAATGACTTCCTTCTCAGCACACTTGTCCCTAAGCGGCAGTGGTGTGAGGTTAGGAGGAAAAGGCCAAGAGAAGTCCCTAACTGGTGGACTCTACTGTGTCTGGCTTGTTTTTTGGTTCATGGCTGCATCCTGGCCTCTTATTGCCACAGGGTTTAGTTTTTGCTAAAGAGGCTCATTTTGCAGATTCTAAGCCCCCAGCATTTGACTCTTATACTAGCTGTTCACGTGGCCAACCTGCTGTTACTGTACTCGTAGTTGGGAGCCCTGGGCTGGGCACACTCTGGGGTCTTTCTGGCAGGAAGAGGTGCCTCATACCAGCTCATGCCCTTAATGCTTGCACCACCCCTAGGTCCGAAAAATTCTGGACCTTGTGCAGAGCAAAGGCGAGGAGGTGTCCGAGTTCTTCCTTTATGTGCTCCAGCAACTCGAGGATGCTTATGTGGATCTCAAGCCATGGCTATCAGAGATCGGCTTCTCCCCTTCCCAGCTCATTCAGAGCAAAACTATCATCAACACTGACCCAGGTAGGAGTCAGCCAAGGAGTACGGCGGGTATGGGCACAAGGCAAAGTCCAGAAATGCTGTAACACCATGGCCCAGGTGGGCATAAAAGTATCACCAGTGAAGCCAGACTGGCCAGCCCTGCCTTGGCTGTGCCTCTCAATGCAAGCCCCAGTGTTTTAGTTTTAGAAAGGAAGGGCTGGTCCCTGGCACCAGAGCTCTAGGGACTGCACTTGAACTGACCACTTGTAACTTGTTTGCTTTTGTGTGTGTGTGTGTATGTGTGTGTGTGTGTTTTGGTTCTGGAGAAGGAACCCAGGGCCTCATGTATGCTAGGTAAGGCCCCAGCACTGGTTTATATAAGGGCCTTAGGAATTGTGGGAACAGCCTCTGTTCTCAACACTTGCTCATGGTTGAACAGATTTGACTCTGTATGTTTTTGTTTTAAAAGATCTTTACAGAAGAGCTAGGAATGTAGCTCAGTGGTTAAAACATTTGTCTAAAATGCATGAGACCCTGGCTTCAGCCTCCAATACATAAATAATAAATAAATACCTTCCAGCAAAACTTTTTCAGGTTTGATTTTAGGCAAAGTATTCTTCAGTCACCCAGGTGCCCATTTGTATTTCCAAAATTAGTGGACCTATTAGTTGACTGACTGCTTAGCTGCATAGTCTGTGACACACCCATTTTGTGCCAAAGCACTGTGATGGATGCTGGGGACACAGTGGTGAATGGAACTAGACTAGTGTTCTTTTTTGAGGGTTCAGAGTCTAGGGTGAGGTGACCAAGACAGCAGCTGCATAAGATGCCAGTGACCAAGGCAGAGTCTGCTCTGGGAGAGGGTCCTCTTTCCCTGATCTTACTCTTTGTGACAGCTGTTGACAACATGTCAAGGCCCCATGCTCCAATTTCCAAAGACTTTAGTTTGGCTTGATGTTTTAGTCACTTTGTATTGCTGTGACAAAATGCTTCAGAAAAGCAACTTAAAGAAGAGAAATTGGGGGGCTGGAGAGATGGCTCAGTGGTTAAGAGCACTGGATGTTCTTGCAGAAGACCCAGGTTTGAATCCCAGCACCCACATAGTGGCTAACAACCATCCATAGCTCCAATTCCAGAGGATCCAATGCCCTCTTCTGTCCTCCATGGGCATTGCACGACACAGGTACACTTGCATACATGCATGCAATGCATGCATACACATAAAAGAAAAAGAAAAATTTGTTTTGTTTCATGGTTTTAGTCCATGGTTGACTGGCTCCATGGTTGCATGGCTGGCTGAAACACCATGGTGGAAGTGCATGGTGGAGAACCAATGCTCACTTCCTGGCAGCCAGGAAACGGCGAGTGCCAGCAAGAGCCAGCAAGGAAGTAGGGCAAGATGTGCTGTTCAAAGGCATGCCCCAGGAACCCACCTCCACCAATGAGGCCCCACCTCCTAGTTTTTAACTACCTCCCAATAATGTCATCAGATTATGAACCTGTCAGTGGCTTTATCATTGATGAGATGAGAGCCTTCAGCCATCACCTCCCCAAAGCTGTCTACTACACGTTTAATAGTAGCCTTCAGGGGCATTTCAGATTCAAGACATGACAGCTTGGGAACAAAGGGAAAGGACCTTCCCAGAGAGGCAGGCAAATGTTTAGGAATAAGCCCAACCAGCAAGGTCAAGGCTGAGCCTGCTGCTGTCTCCCCAGCAGGTACTGTTGTGCTCAGCCAGCCTCTTGCTCTCATTGCTGCTTCCTGCCTGTCTCATTTCTTTCTCTTTGGTGAGATGGGGTACAGAACATTCCCATGGCGAGTAGTTCCAAAAGACATCTCACCCAGTCAGCTCCTTAGTCAGCCACACTAGCTGTTAGAGTGAAATTTACTCTATAAGAAGCTACATACACAGCTAATACATATTGTATGGTTCCAGAAAAAGTGAAGTTATAGAGAAAGAAAGCTCACTAGCAGTTGCTAATTTGGGGGTTAGGGCAGAGCAGTGGCTCCAGAAAACTTTGGGAGGATAATGGAGATGTTCTAGGATGTTCTTAATACTATTTACTAAATTTTGTAAATTTACTAAAAAGTAATTGACTAGTATATAACACAATGAGTAAATTTTTGAATATAAGATATGCTTCAAAAAAGTAATAACAATACAATTCACTTTAAACTTAAAAATATTTTATTTATTATTTTTATTGTATGTATATAAGTGTATTACCTACAAGTATGTAAGTGCACCTGTGTCCTGCAGTGCTCATGGAGGTCAGAAGACAGCATCAGATCCCCTGAAACTGGAGTTAGAGACAGTGTTGTTAGCCGCCATGTGGGTGCTATGACCCAAGCCTGGGTCCTCTGCAAGAGCAGTCAGTGCTCCCAACCCGAGCCATCTCTCCAGTCCCCACTTTAAACTTTTTTGAGTGGAGGTAGGGGGTTGATGGTTTTTTTCTTTGAGACAGAGTCTATATAGCACAGCCTGACCTTGAACTCTCAGTTCTACTGCCTCAGCCTTCCAAGTACAGGGATTACAAGAGTGTATCATCACACCCAGTCCTCTTTATGAATTTCAAACATTTGAATTGGACTAAGTTTATGGGAAAAGTTATAGATAAATATAGACTGTGCATATGCATATACGATTTTTGCTAATTGAATAAAGTTAAAAAAATTATTTTAAAGGACTATAAGAAACACTTTCCATGTGGTGTTAAGTCCTGTGTTTATCACTCAGATTTGCTAGGAGCATGGTATCCAGAGGAATATGTTATGGTATCTCCGCCCTCTGTAGGCAGCTCTAGACTCACCCTTTGGCTTACAGGAATATCTATGACCCAAGCTGCTCAACCTGGAAGCAGAGCAGTGTGTTGTGTTTCAACTCAGCAGATGTAGCTGTGATGTTTGAGGTCAGGCACAGCTCCTTTGTAAATCATATTAAGGTCCAGCCTTGTGTTTTGTATCCATAAGTTTTGGCATCCAGTTTTGTGAAACTGTTGTTCAAGAACAGTATTATAAACCAAAGAAAAGTTGGGGTAATTTCTTCTTTTACAAAACTTTTAGTGTAGACTGACTATTTAAACAGGACTGTGTGCTGGGATTCAGCAGATTGTCAAGTAACCCTCAAATATGAGGGTCTTCCATCTGTCTAGAGTTCAATGATAACTTTGTACAGAGAAACAAGGGAGGCCTGTCTCAGACACTTGACTTGTGGAAGGCTGCTGTCTCCAGCTGGCTAAAATTGAAGTCAAGCAGACCGAGAAAAGCCCTGGACCTTCAAGCTCTGGAACACTGGGTCTTTGAGGGTCCTTGGGGATCCTGTTTGAGGAGTGTGTGACTTGGCTCAGAGTCTGGGCTGTTTGTTGTTGTTGTTTGTTTTGCTGTGTAATTGCCTGTCTTTCTGAGACCTCCCTGTTTGATACAGTTTCTACCTTCTCCCTCCTTTTCCCCTGGCTTCCTCCCTCCCCTTCTCTCTCCTCACCTGGTTGTTGAGACTGTCCCTCCCTCCTCCAGTGAGCAGGTACACCCAGAAGCTGCGACACCAACTAGGCTGCAACTCCAAGTTCATGCTGTGCTATGCCCAGAAGGAGGAGCTGCTGCTGGAGGAGACCTACATGGACACACTCATGGAGCTGGTGGGCTTCAACAATGAGAGCCTGGGCAGTCTAAGCGGCCTGGCTTGCCTGCTGGACCACAGCTCCGGGATCCTCAACGAGCATGGCGAGACGGTGTTTGTGTTTGGAGATGCTGGGGTGGGCAAATCTATGCTGTTGCAGCGGCTGCAGAGCCTCTGGGCGTCGGGCAGACTGGCCACCGGAGTCAAGTTCTTCTTCCACTTCCGCTGCCGCATGTTCAGCTGCTTCAAGGACAGCGACATGCTATGTCTGCAGGATCTGCTTTTCAAGCACTTCTGCTATCCAGAGCAGGACCCCGAGGAGGTGTTCTCCTTTCTGCTGCGCTTCCCGCACACGGCACTATTCACCTTCGATGGCCTGGACGAGCTGCACTCGGACTTCGACCTGAGCCGCGTGCCGGACAGCTGCTGTCCCTGGGAACCTGCGCACCCACTGGTCCTGCTGGCCAGCCTGCTCAGCGGGAGGCTGCTCAAGGGCTCCAGCAAGCTGCTCACGGCCCGCACGGGGGTGGAGGTCCCGCGCCAGCTCCTGCGCAAGAAGGTGCTGCTTAGGGGCTTCTCGCCGGGTCACTTGCGCGCCTACGCCCGCAGGATGTTCCCGGACCGTGCGGTGCAGCAGCACCTGCTGGAGCAGCTGGAAGCCAACCCCAACCTCTGCAGCCTGTGCGCCGTGCCGCTCTTCTGCTGGATCATCTTCCGCTGCTTCCAGCACTTCCACACCGCCTTCGACGGCTCCTCGCAGCTGCCTGACTGCGCAGTGACCCTGACCGATGTGTTCCTGCTGGTCACCGAGGTGCATCTGAACAGGACGCAGCCCAGTAGCCTGGTGCAGCGCAACACGCGCAGCCCGGCGGAGACCCTGCAAGCAGGCTGGCGTACACTGCGTGCGCTTGGCCAGGTGGCACACCGAGGCACAGACAGGAGCCTCTTTGTGTTCAGCCAGGAGGAGGTGCAGGCTTCTGAGCTGCAGGAGGGGGATCTGCAGCTAGGCTTCCTGCGAGCCCTGCCTGAGCTGGGCCCTGAGGGGGGACAGCAGTCGTATGAGTTTTTCCACCTCACACTCCAGGCCTTCTTCACTGCCTTCTTCTTGGTGGCAGATGACAGAGTGGGCACCCGAGAGTTGCTGAGGTTCTTTCAGGAGTGGACGCCTCCTTGGAAGGCCACAGGCACGTCCTGCTATCCTTCCTTCCTGTCCTTCCAGTGCTTGGCGGGCAGCAGGAGGCCGGGCCTGGAGCCCTTCAGGAACAAAGACCACTTCCAGTTCACCAACCTCTTCCTCTGCGGGCTGCTGGCCAAAGCCAGACAGAAACTCCTGCGGCAGCTGGTGCCCAAGGCCACCCTGAGGAGGAAGCGCAAGGCACTGTGGGCACATCTGTTCGCCAGCCTGCGCTCCTACCTGAAGAGCCTGCCCCGGGTTCAGTCTGGGGGTTTCAGCCAAGTACATGCCATGCCTACCTTCCTGTGGATGCTGCGCTGCATCTATGAAACCCAGAGCCAGAAGGTGGGGCGGTTGGCAGCCAGGGGCATCAGTGCTGACTACCTCAAGTTGGCCTTCTGCAACGCCTGCTCAGCCGACTGCAGCGCCCTGTCCTTTGTCCTGCACCACTTCCACCGGAGGCTGGCCCTGGACCTCGACAACAACAACCTCAATGACTACGGGGTGCGAGAACTGCAGCCTTGCTTCAGCCGCCTCACGGTTATCAGGTGAGACAATGGGCACCTTAGCATTGAGCAGGTAGGGCAGGCTCAGGGCTCCAGGACTGGCAGTGTGGGTCAGGATTGTTGGTTGGTGGTTACCCAAGGACTGGGGACTGCTGGTCTTGCTATGGCTGGGTCTTCTGATCCAACAGTGGTGTTTCTGAAGGGTTCCAGGCCATGCCTGCTGCCCCACAAGCCAGGTGGACCAGCTCAGCTCCAGTGTTCTTGAAGGAGCTGCTTAACCTCTTGGAACCACTGGAGAAAGAGCTGCCCTATTCCAGCCATTAGTCAGATTTACAGAAAGCAGAGCCGGGAGTTGCAACTGAAACCTGGCTTAATGCTTTTTTCCCTGTAAGACAGAGGCTGCTATTGCCTCTGTTTTGGCAAATAGGAAGCAGAGGCTCAGAGAAGTTAGAGGCTCCACGCCCCACAGTTGAGATGTGGTGGGGCCAAAATTCCAAGACCTGCCCTTGAAGTTTAGCCTGAGGCTATTGTCCATGCTGGGTCTTGGCTTACTTTATTTTGTAGGACAGGCAGACTGAGCTAGTCAGCTTTGCTTCCCATAACTAAACTGGCAGCTTGCCCACCTCAAGATGGCTTTCCTGTTTGATGGTAGGAACCAGAATCCAGTCTACTAGTTCCTTTGTTAGCTTTTTCTTTGTGAAACAAACCTGCAGGCCTTAAATCCACCGCGGCTTGGCACATGCATTTCCGGAGAGCACTGGAGAGTGGGAGCTTCTCAGGCTGTTAACTGGAATAGAAACTATGTGGGGACTTGGGGTGTAGGAAGCTGAAAAACTGCCCAGCCCGGGAACCCAAAGCCAGCATCTGCCCTGTGCTGTTAGCCCGTGACTCTCCCTGGTGGTCTCCACTCAACATTCCCCACTGCCTGCCCTGTAAGAGGGAGCTCTTCAGCAGAGTATGGTCCTGTCCTGCCCTGCTGTCCTCCACACCAGCAAAAGAAAAGGCAGTTTACAGGAAAGCAGGGCTTATGAACCACCATAAGGAAGTATTCCAAGTTTCCTGAGCACATCAACTAGGATTAATTACAACAGAGAGTTTGAGAAAAGATAAAGTCTTGGAGTCCAACCTATGTTATTATCGCTCTAAGGAGCCAAGTATAGGGTAGGCAATTAAAGACTGGTGTGTGGTGTCTCAATGATCAGAGCCCAGGCTCTTTAGCCTTACTACCTGGGGTCTACTTTCTGACCCAAGACAGGTACCCAAGCTTCAGCCAACAACTCAGTATTCTAGCCAACAGGAGACAAAGAAAGTCATATTTTATTCTTTTATTTTACATATTTTTTCAGCATCCAGTATTTTGTTTTGTTTTCAAGACAGGGTCTTCCTATAGCCCCAGATGGCCTGAAACTTAGTATGTAGACCAGGCTGACCTGGATCTCATAGAGATCTTCCTGCCTCTGCCTCCTGAGTGCTGGGATTAAAGGCCTGTGCCACCACGCCTGATAGTACTGGGTTTTGAACTGGGGATATACTTGCCACACAAGCACTCTTCATGAGGCCACACCCCAAGAGCAAATCCTATTCTTTTGAAGAGATATTGCCAGTGATACCTCTTCTTGGAATTTATTGGGCAGAACTTAATTGCATATACCAAGCTGAAGAAGGGGAAGGGAGGGTAGGGATTCTGTTGCTAAGAAAGCACAGATCTTGGAAGCACTTGCCATGCTGGGATGGCAGGGCAACATATACACGCTGTGCAAGCACCCAGCCTGCTGTTCTCAGGGAAGGGTCTGGGGGTCTGGCCTTATCCTTTTTTGTTTGCTTGAGATAGGGTCTCACTGTGTAGCCCACTTGGCCTGCAACTTGATATATAGTTAAGGCTAGCCTCAAAGTCACAGAGATCCACTTGCCTCTGCCTCTGCCTCAAGAGTGCTGGGATAAAAGATGTAAGCTACTGCATCCAGCTTTGATCTTATCCTTTTGATGTGGCCTGATTATAACGCTTTTACCTGTTCACCTTTTATTTGTTACAGAAGTCGGCTTGTTAGGTCAAATTCAGCCCATGACTTGTGCTTGTAAATAAAGTTTTATTGGAGCACAGTCACACCTGTTCTCCAGGAAGCAGTGTGGCTGCTTTACACTGTGGAGTTGAACAGTTGTGCTTAGGGCCTGCAGAACCTGTAGCATTTGGCAGCTGGGCTTTGTAAAAAGTCTGCTGCCCCCCTATTCTGTCCCCGCACTGGGCCCTGCTCTTGCCTTGTCCCTGAGGCTCTTTCTCTCTCAGCCTTGAGAGAGACTCAAGGTCAAGGTAGCTTGTTACAGAAATTGCTCAATGAAAGAGAGAGAGAGAGAGAGAGAGAGAGAGAGAGAGGGAAAGGGAGAGAGGGAGGGAGGGAGGGAGGGAGGGAAAGAGGAAGAAAGAGCAAACATGAGGGGAAGGAAGGAGAGAGGAACAGAAAGAGAAAGGGGAAGAAAAAGAAGGCTGGGGATAGCACAGGGTCACTGCGCTTGCCTAGCATGCTGCAGGCCCTGGGTTCTATCCCCAGCACTACCAATAAATAAATAAAAATCACATGTTGGCCATGACAAGCTAGTGCAGAGACTTTCTAGAGAAACTCCAGTGTGTGGCTGGCCCTTGACCTTCAGATTAGCCACAATCCCAGAGCTCCTGTTTTCCTGTCCTCTCACCCCAACCCCACCCCCATCCCCACCCACTCCACTTGCATTAGGAGGAGGAGGGAGAGAATGTTGCTGCCCAGACCCACCATTTCCCAGCCAGCCTTTGGTTTCTCTTCCCACTTTCCCACCCAGCTGCTGGGGTTTGGCCCATGTACTTCTATAGAATAGCTTATGTTTGAGGCAGGAAATTAATAGTGGGGATTGGTCTGTATTTTGTAGGACCTCTTATGTCCTGGTCCTACTCCTGAGAAGGCAGGATGTTTCTTCTCCTAGTGACAGTGATCACATTTCAGCCCTCACTGTGTGGTGAGGCCATTGAGAGTCCTGCCCAAATTCAGACGCTGAAGGTGGCTGGCTGCGTGTGTCCTTCTTGGCCTCTTGTGGCACCTCTACTTCGGGACTGGGCTGCAGCCTTGCTGTTGACCCGGACCAGAAGGTTAGGCTCTTTGGACTGTCTTTCTGACACCAGGGCAACTCCAGGGCATGTAGGCAGTTGGATCCTCAGGCTGAGTGCTCTGGAAGATGCACTGCCCTGATTGGCAGTTTTCTTTGCTGTTCTGTTTCAGACTCAGCGTTAACCAGATCACTGACACAGGAGTGAAGGTGCTGTGTGATGAGCTGACCAAGTACAAAATTGTGACATTTCTGGGGTATGACTTGCTTAAGAACACTGGGTGGGCCAACTACTTTGCCAGATTGCTGAGCTGCAGGAAATTGCCATCCACATGGCCAGAAACCATGGCCAATGCTGGTAGAAGGCTTAGCCATCTTCTAGCCTCAACCTCCCATGTGCTGAGATTATAGGCCTGTGATACCATGGCCTGTTCTGGGTTCTGTTCTGGGCTCATCCAGTAGCCAAGTATTTGAGCCAGTCACAAAGGCTCGTGGAATCCCATCTTCCTTGTAAAGCTGGGACCTAATGTAGGCAAGCAAGTTTGGAGGATACAAAGAGAGATCCATGTTCCGTAGATGTTAAAATACCTGCTATGAGGGTGGAGCTTGCATCTGGACCCTGGGGCCAAGGCGAGAGCATGTATGTTGTTGTAGCAGTGACACAGAGAAAGGGGTCATAGGCAGCACCTCTCCTCAAATACAAAGAATGTCACAGAAAAGTATATGAATATTCAAACTAAGCAAGGAGAGTAAAGACCACATAGGTCCAAGTAAGTTGCCAAAACAATTACAAACAGCTTCGTGTTTGAGGAGTTGAGGCAAGGGATTGTGGGCCCCACAGCCACTGCTGACACTGTCACTGCAACAGTTGCTCAGCACCCCTGGGCCTCAGTTGTGCTCACTGCAGGACAAGGACAGATCCGTAGAAGGTCCTAGAGGCCTCTCTGCATGCATGGTAAGTGGAGAAGAGCCCTGACTGCTTTTCTGGCCTTATTCTTGAATTGGAACAGAATAAAGCTGTTAGAATGTGGGTGCCAAGGTTTAAGGCTCAGAGAGCCTAAATCTACATCGTCAGCATTTACCAAGCACTGTGTGAGCCTGGGCTGCACATGATGCCACATGCTCCTCATGATGGGAGAAGATATGATTGTCACAGAAAGAGACCAATTGAAGCAGGGTAGTGGGGAGCCAGCTGCAAAGCCAGGCTGATGTAGGGCTTAAGCTCTTTCAACCCAGACATTGGAAATCAGAGGGTAGCATATACTCCTATAGAGGGGGACACTCACATGACACCAGGACTCACAAAGTCCCCTGGCTGTGTTTTCTCTCCAAGTTTATACAACAACCAGATTACAGATATTGGAGCCAGGTATGTCGCCCAAATCCTGGATGAATGCAGAGGCCTCACACACATTAAGTAAGTAAGTGGTCGGGGCAACAACTCCTTAGAACCTTTTCTCTTCCTATCTCTGGGTCTCATTGTCAGTTATTAAGAGAATCAGTGTCACCATAAAGAGGTCTCATCCTAAAGCTTCTGACAGCCCCATGGCTATACTGGTCCCTCTGGCCAAGTATGCTCACCCTGAGGAGGAATTATGACCCAACCTGGGGCTTGGACTGTGAAAAAACCACCAATTAGTGTGTGGGGGAAGTTAGCACTTTAATCTCATTAATTAATTAGAAAGACAGGTTGTATCTATTACCCTTTCTGGAATGCCAGAGGATCTTTTTCCCAAGGGAGCTTGATCATTGGCATTGTCGTAGACATGCCTTGCAATGAGCGATGGATCATCTGGTCCTTCTGGCAATGGAAATATTCACCTTGACCTTTGGCAGTGAATATGGGCACTCTCCAGCCCACTGAAGTGAGTGATAGCCCTGAGATCACTTAGAGAACCCCACAGAGGGTTCCCGTGGCTGACCACCTGTGGAGATCACAGGCCATCTCCTGAGGAGGACACTGACTGTTTGTCTTCAGGTTGTGGGTCTTTCCCTTGACAGGAGGCCTGGAACATGGCCACGTGTGTCAGTATGGGAGGGCTCTGCACTGGGAAGGAAGGTGGCCCGTGGTAGAGCCCCCCTATACAGACTGACTATGTGTATGTCTCTCTGCAGACTGGGAAAAAACAGAATAACAAGTGAGGGTGCGAAGTGCCTGGCCCTGGCTGTAAAGAACAGCACCTCCATCATTGATATTGGGTGAGTATAAGGGATTACCCATGCAGGGTGCATACAAGCTGCTATGTATTGGGGCACCAGTTGCTTCTTTGCATACCAACGTGACAGAGGGACTATGGGGTTGGCAGCAGAGACATCTTAGTTGCTTCTGGGCAGAAGATGGTGTGGGAGGTCCCAGAAGCAATTACCATGGAGACTGCACAGATCTAAGTCATCCAGAAGTTCCTGTCACAGTACCAGCTACTGGAGGAACCATGCTGGCTCTGTGTGCTGGCTGCTGCCAGAGACTGTCCTTTTACTATGTCCTCTGGGTAGCTTTGCTGTTCTTCCATTAAAAAATGTTTTATTATTTTTATTTTATGTGTATAACTATTTTGCCTGAATGTAAGTATAACCATGTCGTGCAGTGCCTACAGATGTCAGAAGTGGGCCTTGGATCCCCTGGAACTGGAGTTACAGATGGTTGTTAGCCACCATGTGGGTGCTGGTAATCAAACTCAGCTCTTCTGCAAGAACTGCCAGCATCCTTAACAGCTGAGCCATCTCTCCAGTCCCTTTCTTCAATTTTGTGTGTGTGTGTGTGTGTGTCTTTTTGAGACAGAGTTTCCTTGTAGTTCCAACTGTCCTGGAACTCACTAAGTAGGCCAGGCTGGCCTTGAACTCACAGAAATCCACCAGCCTCTACCTCGTGAGTGCCGGGATTAAAGACACGGCAGGGCGTGCGCCACCGTGCTCTGCCTTTCTTCCATTCTTTAAAGTCATGGTAAAAACACACAATATCAAATCAACCACCCTAACCATGTTTAACTGTGCAGTTCACTAGTACAAAGTGCATTCATATAAGGCTGACACCATCTTTTTCCAAAGCTCTTTTCATCTTCCAAAACAGACTCTGCACACATCGAGCACTGGCTTCCCACCCTCCCTCCCCATCTCAGAGACTCAGTACTGTCCATCTCTAGGCATCCAAACCTCTTGAAAGTGCATCACACAACTCTTGTTTTTTTTGTGATGGCTTATTTCATTTAACATAACACCGTCAAGGTTTGTTCCTATTGTCACATGTCAGAGTTCCCTTCCTTTTGCAGACCGTCCACATATACACCTTGTTTTGCTCATTGGTTCCTCTGTCATTGTCCTGCTGAGCTTTATGTTTTAGCTGTGTGAACACTACTGATGAGCGTGGTGCACAGACATCCCTGTAAGGTCCTGTTGGTACTTCCCACTGGGGTTGCCTGATGGTGTTACTTCTATTTTTGGTTTCTTTTTAAATTTTTAAAAATTTATTATTTATTTTTATATGTATGAATATTTTGCCTGCATGTATGTAAGTGTTCCATTTATAGAGTTCAACCTACGTAGACAGAATTTTATCCCTCATTTCTTACTCAGTCTCACGTCGTGAATAATCTGCCACTTTATTAAAAATTTGGTGCCATTCAATTGTAGTATAAACATTTTCTCAGCAAAATACTAAAATTGGGGCCTCATAGGCCATACCTGGAAGCAGCCTACTGGGACCAGCACCTCACCAAGGAGGCCAGGTTCTGTTGTGTGGTGGCTGGGCAGATTGCTCTGCTACCTATAGATAGCAGTCCCTCATCCTCCTGGGAATAGATGGCCCTTTTTCCAGGTCAGCCACTCTTCTAAGTTCATCACATCTGAACTTCCAAAATCTTTACTACCACTCTGAAAAGAAGATCCTTGTCATGCCATTTTAGGAGACTGATGCCCAAGATGCAACAAGACTGCCTAAGGTTCACAGGCAGTGGGCGGCAGAGCCAGGGTACAGCCTTTCATCATGCCCACTGTGTTAGCTGATCTGGGATGGTTTGCCCTGGGGAAGGGAAGTCAGTTTCACTGTCCTAACCCTCTGCAGAGCTTGCAGCAGCCTGCAGGGCTTGGCTTGGCAACATCCTCTCACATACAAGAAAAGTTGGTGTGGTTTCAGCCATACTTTTTAGCCTTTGGCTTCCAGGAAGACCAACAGCATCTGTAGGAGTGGCCCCCTTCATTGCCCTCAGTGGATCCAGGATGGGAGTCCTGCTCCTGACCACAGGCCAGGGCAGCCTGGTAGATTTCTTCCAGGGTGGTCTTGGCCTGAGGCTCTGATACTAGAGCCTTCTCAAAGTTCAGAGAGAGACTAGTCTCAAATCGTGGGCCTTGTTGGTCCTCTTCTGTGCTCAGTTTCCACTGCCTTTCTCCTTTCACATGTCTCTACCTGGAAATCCAGGGCAAGCCACTGTTCAGTAACCAGTGTGAGGCTGGGCTTGAGGCCACTTCTCCAGGAGTCACCTGTCAAGTGTGAACCATGCTGGGGCCACTGACAGAAACAGAGGGATGTGTATGTGTCTGTGTTGGGAGCTCACAGTCCCTGTCTTACCTGTGCCCTCAGGATGTGGGGCAATCAAATTGGAGATGAAGGTGCAAAGGCCTTCGCAGAGGCACTAAGAGACCACTCCAGCTTGACCAACCTCAGGTAATATGTCTTCTGAGATATGGGTCCCAGGGGCCTAGGGAGGAACTGCTGAGAGGGGTTGACTGGCTTTGCTTGTGGGGGTGGGACTGATTGGCAGGTGCCTTTCTTTCTGAAGTTTTTTCCTGGTGGGTATGAGGTGTGTATGAGGTACATTATTCTCAAGTGCTTGACTCAGAGACCAGCACCCAGATCAAGAACTGGGATACTTACAGCCCTTCAGTCATCTCTATGTGCCCGCTTGGGGGTTGGGGAGGAATTCCCAAGCCCAAGTAAACCTAAAGGGACATGGGCCAGCAAATTCCTGTGCCTTCTTTCTCAGAATGATGCTGGGACAGAGGGTACCCTTCCTTTCTGTAAACAGCCCTTCTTTGGGCTTCTAGCCTGGTACCAGTACCTTAAGGTCTCTTGGGCTCTACCATGCAACGAGAGTCCAAGACTGTAAAAAGAGAGACTTTTTCAGGTCTTATCATAGGCTCCTGAAACTCTGAACACCCTCATATAAGCCTGGAATAGTCAACTTTTAGAGCACAAGGCCTCCTTGGCCTTCACCTTGTATGTAAAAACCCGAGTTCTGCCTTGTTTCCCCACCTGGTCTTTCCAGAAGCAGTCTCATGCCTGTTCCCACATTCTGGGCAACAAAGCCTGGGCATCTGCTGATGGGTCCAGTGCCTCTACTTCCTGCTGCAGGCTGCCCTGGCAGGTGCTGTATCTAGATGAAGCTTCCCGGATAACTGAGTGTTGAAGCTAAGGCCAAACGTGGATGTGGCTATAGTAATCCAGCCCTGATGTTTTCTTTCCTAGTCTTGCATTCAACGGCATCTCCCCAGAGGGAGGGAAGAGTCTTGCAAGGGCCCTGCAGCAGAACACCACCCTGACAATATTCTGGTAACATTGCAAGTCATTTCCAAGGGTTGGGTCTGGTCATGATTCCCAGGATTACACACAGCCTAGAATCTTAACTGAAAAGGTGCTCCTCCGTTGAAAAGCTGAATTAAATCCTCCCCCAGAGAAGAAAGCAGTTTCCAGAAGCTCGGGAATAGAAGGATGATACAGACCCAGAAATTATGGGTAAAGGCCTTATCTGTCTTTGCCACCTTGGCTTAGGTGAACCAGCAGGCTGGCCATTTAAGCTGCCATAGGTCCCTTCAGAACACCCTAACCCAGGTCCAGCTTTCATGCCCCCTTCCCACTCTCACACTGCCATTCTGCCTGTGGCTACCTCTTGTCATGTGTATGCATTAGGATTTGGCCTCTGATGCCCCATCTCACTTGTCACCAGGCACCATAGCCCCTGTCTGCACTTACTAAGAGGTTGTTGTCTCTCCATGATGCTTTTGCCTCCCCTCCTTTTTAGAGGGTCATTTAATCTTCATTTTTCCTTATTTCATGGTTTATTTTCTTGTCAGTATTATAAATTCCTCACAGTAAACAAGTTGCATTATTTCCCACTTTATCATCCATTTGCAGCCCAGTGCTCACTGGGTCTTGATAACACAGTGTTAGTTACTTTTCTTGTTGCTGTGACAAAATGCCTGACAAAAGAGACTTAGGAGGAAAGAGCTTATTTTGACTCACAGTCTGAAGGCCATGAGGCGGGAAGCATGGTAACAGGAACATGAGCCAGCTGGTTGCATGCATCCACAGCCGGGATGCAGAGGGATGAATGCTGGTGCTCAGCTTACTTTCTCCTTTCCATTCAGTCTGGGAGCCTAACCCTCGGGATAGTGCTGTCTACATTTAGGGTGAGTCTTCTGAACTTGATTAACCCAGTCTAGAAATTCCCTATAGATACGCTCAGTTTACCCAAGTGATTCTAGATCCCGTCTAGCTGACAATGAATATTAAATATCACGCATAGCTACTGAAGTATCATTTCATGCCCAATGTCGGAGAGCATACTTATAGTCCTAACATTCTGAAAGCTGGGGTGGAGGATTGCAAGTTTCAGGCCAGCCTGGCCTACGTAGGGAGACCCAATAATGAGAAAAAGTCATCTTTTGAGAGCTTTGATACTAGATCTGTCAGCTAGTCAATGTAACTTTATTCTTTCCCTTCAAAAATTTTAATATTTCGGGGGCTGGAGAGATGACTCAGTGGTTAAGAGCACTGGTTGCTCCTGAAGAGGACCCAGGTTTGCTTCCTAACACCCACATGGCAGCTAACAACCATCAGTAACTCCAGTTCCAGGGGATCCAATGCTCTCTTCTGACCTCCATGGGGAATGTGAGACATGGGTGCACTTGTACACATGCAGGCAGTACATTCATACACATCAAATAAAAAAATAAAATATTTTTTAAAAGAAAAATATTACAAACTAAAAACTATAATACGATTAGGGTTCATACACATAAAATAAAAATAATTTTTTAATTTAATATTTTGAAGATAGCGTTTTTAGAAAAAATGTACAAAAGAAAGTCTGAACAGTAGAAAATGAAAGTATTTCTCTCATGTTTTCCAAATATTATTGTTCCTTTCTAGCCTTTTTATATATTCAAATACATAACAAAATAGAAGCACATTTGGCCACTACCTACCTATTAATATAACCATTAACTACATATATTGTACATATTTGAGGTGCCCTGTCTTGCCAGGGTCTCTGTCTCCACACTGATGACATATTTGTTGCTTGGGGCTGGCCAATGCCCTGGGGGGCATTCCTGCTTCTCCTTGTAAGATGTCAGGAGCACCCCAAATTGTGATGGTCAAAAAGGTGTCCCTCCAGACACTGTGTCCATACACAGCAAAACCACCTAGTTGAGAACCACTGCTCTGCATGGACACCAGCAATAGCAGCATTTGACTTTATTTCTGGGCCATTCTATGCCTGTATGTACATAGATTCATTCCATAGTCACTCTATGCAGTTGTACTGTTCCTCTTCACACTTACCCATGAGAGGACTCAGACCCACTAAGCCACGTCCCTGTGGTCCCTCTACTCAGTAAGGTGAGCCCAGCAAGTCAAAGTCAGAACACCCTAACACTGCCCTCTGCTTCCTCTGTCCATCCTATGGTCTTGAAGGCACAATGCCCCATTGAATGGGTGCTCACTATTTTGTCAGTTATTTCTGTACACAGGTATCTAAAATGGTTCAAATTTTACATCGTGGCAGGCAATACCACAGGCAGTACTGCAAGGTCTAAATCTTTGTTGTACCTTTTCCCTTTTCAGTACTGAGATTCAAGTTCAAGGCCTCCTGCATGTGGGGCAAGAGCTCTGCCACTGAGTTGTATTCCCAGCCCCTAAAAAGAATTTTTTAAATTTTGAAATAGAGACTCACTAAGTTTCCCAGATTAGCCTTAAATTCACGATCCCCCTGCCTTTGCCTCCAAGTAGCTAGGATTACAGACACCACCACTTCCAGCTTTGATATACCTCTTGTACATTGTAGGACGAGTTTCTAGAGTCTGATTCTTTTTGTCTTAAAGTGTTTCCCTGGGCCTGGTTTCTATAAAATCTGAGGGAGAGCTCTGCTGCAAGCAGGAGGGCTGGAAACAGATGCTCAGAGCAGGGCTCACTAGAATCGAGTGCCTGTGAATGAATATGCCTGCCGGAGTGCAGAGTTTCCATGTAACCTGGAAGACAGGCCCTCAGCACATGATGAGTTGCAGGGCTGGAGGGACACGGCTGAGTTGCCTCTGTGAATGCACTGACTGAGTCTGTCTGTCAGTGCTCCTGACTCAACATTTCTCTGTTTTAGGCTGACGAAAAATGAACTCAATGATGAGGCAGCAGAATGCTTCGCAGAGATGCTCAAAGTCAACCAGACGCTGCAGCACTTATGGTAACTCACAAAGCCTACAGTTTCTGAGTCTGTTGCTTTTCACAGATAGTTTTTATGATAAAATTTATAGACCACAAAACTCACCTCTAAGTATGGCTTTAAGTTTACATATGATTCAGAGGATCACAAAGTTGCGTGGTTGTCACCCTCTTGTTCTAGAACATTTTTTTGCTGCCCCTGTCTGCCATAAGCAGTCACTTCCTATTCTTCCTCTCGCTTCTGGGGACACAAATCTGATTTTTGTCTCACTGGTGGACATTTCATACAAATCGAATGATCAGACATGACTTTTTAGCTCTGTGTCTCCTAGCACAGTTCCCAGGTTAACCTGTGTCATGGCTTGGCCTGCACTGGTGCTGCATTACTTTTTTGAGGTCACATGGTTCTCTGGGTATGGACATGTGGCATTTTGTTTATTTGTCAGTTGAAAAATATTGGATTGTGTCTACTTCCTGACTGCTGTGACAGATGCATGTGCATGTTCTTGTACATGTTTCCACTTTCTTTTTTTTCATTTTAATTTATTCTTCTAAACTTCATGCATATGTAGTTCTTTGATCAAAGTCTCCCCCATTATCCTCTTTCATCCCCTTCTCACATCTAATCTCTTCTTCTTTTTCCTCCTAAGTCCCCTCCTACTTTCATGTCTTTTTTCCTGTGTGTGTTCCATTGGATTTAATCATGGTTACATTCACAAGCATGGGTGGGTTATTTACCTGAGTGGGGACAATGTAGCAGCGGCTACTGTAATACCAAGTGAGAGATTCATAGAGGAACCCCACAGTGATGGTCGAATTAGGAGTCCTTTATTAAGAGCCAGCATGATCTGCTGAGCACGTGCTTTTTATTGAATGGTTATGACATGCTTTTCAAAAATATCAGTTGATGGGCTGGAGGGATGGGTCGGTGGTTAAAAGCACTGGCTGCTCTTGCAGAGGACCTGGGTTTGATTCTCAGAGCCCACATGGCAGCTAACAACCATCCATAACTCCAGTTACAGGGGAATTCGACACCCTCTTCTGACCTCTGCAGGCATTGCACGACATGGGTGCACTTATATACATGCAGGCAATACACTCATACACATAAAATTTTTTAAAAATCTTAAAAATCAATTGATACATATCTAGACACTATCCTAGTCTCCCATTCTATGTGTCTATCCTTAATTAAGGTTACAGTTATTGGGGTTTTTTTTTTCTAATTTAATTTTTTTTTTGACCTTTTTGAGACAGGATCTCCCTGTAGCCCCAGCTGTCCTGGAACTCACCATGTAGACCAGACCAGGCTGGCCTTGAACTCACAGAGATCTGCCTGACTCTGCCTCCCAAGTGCTGAGATTAAAGGAATGTGCCACCACACCTGGCTTAATTTAATTTTTTTTTAATGTGCATGAGTGTTTTACCTCCATGTTTGTAGGTATATCTGTGTTGTGTAATACCTGCAGAGGCCACAAGAGGGCTATAACTGGAGTTGAGAATGGCTGTTAGCTGTCATGTGGGTGCCAGGAACTGAATCCAGTTCCTCTGTGCGAGCAGCCATCTACTGTAAGAGCAGTAAGATGGCTCCTAATTGTTGAACCATCTCTCCACCCTTGGTTTAGTTTTTGAGACAAAATCTTCCTAGGTATCTCAGGCTGACCTCAAACTCGGGATCCTCCTGTATCCTCCTCCTAAGTGCTGGGTTAAAGCATGTGATACCATGCCTGCTGCACTCTCCTACTATTCTGGATCCCTTGTATTGAATTTAGAATTACTTTGTCAATTTCTGAAAAAAAAAAAAAAACCCAGATTATGCATTTTTTTCTCCCTTTTGTCTTTAGCTTGCAGACTTCTGTGTCCATCCCTGAGTGTCAGGTCCCTCCAGGGAGCAGAGCCAGAAAGGCCTACAGAGGGGATGCACCACTATTCTGGTCTCAGTGAAAGCAGGCAGATATGCCCAGCATTGCCAGGTGTTTTAATACACCAGGTGTGCTTCTCCATCCTGGCCTCTTATCAAATCTTTTCTTGTTTGTTTGTGGGTTGTTGGTTTGGTTTTGTGTGTTTGTTTGAGACAAGGTCTCACTCCATAGCTCAGGCTGGCCTGGAATTTACTATGTAGCCCAGGTTTGCCTTGAACTCACAATCCTCCTGCCCCAGTCCCCAGAGTACTGGAGTTACAGATGTGAGTCATCACATTCCACTGCCAAGACATGACTGAAGGCAGCCTACCCTTCCCAGCAAGGCGTAGCAGGTGGCAGTGGCAGCCTCCATTGGAGGTACTGATAGGAAACAGCAGGGTTTAGCTGAATATCTAACTCTGCCCACTGTTTGGTTCTGTGTTTGTTTCTTCCATAAAAATGTCCAAGTTTCACCTGTGAGCATGTTCTTTGGAAGTTTATCAACTCTGCCGCTTAGCCCAGGGTGTGACTGGAGGCACTGGGTCCTGACAGCAGCTCAAACACCAGGGTCCCATGTCCAGGTATAATGATTATCTCCCACTAAAATGTGACATGCCCAGAATGTATGGCACACTCTTCTAGTGATTCCCATTTCACAGACAAGTGAAACACGGATACATTTATTCCTTCAAGATTCTGCAGCTAAAAAAATGGGGGGAAGGGTAGGTTATAAGAGGTTATAACCACTTTTTTAAGGGGAAGTCCATTCATGCTGATTCTATACCCTCATCAACCTGAGAGCAGAGCCCTTGCCTTCTAACCAAGCTCCTTCTTGAGTCAGTATCCAGGATTTTTTAAGAGTTCGGTAAAGCAGTAGCCTCATTTACCCACAGCTAGGTGAGGATAGAGGCAGCAACATAATGTAGGCACATCCCAATCTCTTTCTGTATTTACTTCCTGGTTTAGTAATAACATTGCTGCAGGCCATGGTTCCAGACTACAAGCTAGGGTCTCAGACTATAAACCAGGGTTTCAGACTGGAGGCTAGAGTTCTAAACTACAGATCGGTGTTTTAGCTGTAGAACAGGATTCCAGAGTTCAAGCTAGGAATTCATATGATAGGGTTACAGGCTTCAGTCTGGGGTTCTAGTCTGCTGATTAGGGTTTCAGATGGCAGACTAGGGATCTAACTATAAGCCAGGGTTCCTGGCTACAAACTAGGGTTGCAGCTACAGGCCCAGATTCTAGGCTGCAGTCCAGGGTTCCAGACTATTGGTCAGGGTTCCAGGCAGGGCCTACCTCCCTAGTTCTGCCTGTACTTTGCTGAATTTGGATCATGTCTTCTCTACAGCATGCATACTCTATGAAGTCTGGTTATCAATGTTTTCCCACTGACCCCATAAGCAGCAGTAGCAGAAATGTTTCCCTACCCTCTCCTCTGGATGTTGGGGGAAGAATCTGGCAACACCATACAAGCCTTTGGGTCCCCAAAGAAGAGATGACCATTTAGTAGCTGCTTAACCTTAAAGTCTGCTATATCTTTGCCTAGTTACTCACAAGGAAATGGCAGATGGCCCATTCCCCTTATAAGGTATTTATAATGTTGTTTAGACTGATGGTCTCCAAACCTTTTGAGCTGTGCACCCCTGCAATGAAGGACATACATACACACACACACGGGTGCAGACATACACACACCCCACACCACACCAGATCTGTTTAAAATTATATTATGTGTGACTCTAGATATATTTATTGTAAAATAAAACGTTGAACATTTTGAGGCTGGAGAGATGACTCAGTGGTTAAGAATACTGACTGCTCTTGCAGAGGACCCGGGTTCAATTCCCAGCACCCACATGACAGCTATGAACAATCCTTAACTGCAGTTCCAGGGGAATCCGAAGCCCTCTTCTAACCTCCGAGGCATTGCACGATACGGGTGCACTCACATACATGCAGGCAATACACTCATACACATAAAATAAAAATAATAAATAATTTTTTTTTAATGTTGAACATTTTAAGGGCAATTCATTGTTCTCAGATATCTAACTGAGGCACTCTCAGTCCAGTGAAGAACTACTGGGATCCCTATCACCACCCCATCCCTGACTCTGATCCCACTGGGCCCTACAAATCCCAGATTGGACCCAGTCATCTGTGTGGACACAGATGTGCTCTTCTTTCAGGCTTATCCAGAATCAGATCACAGCCAAAGGGACAGCCCAGCTGGTGGAGGCTCTGCGCAAGAACACCAGCATAACGGAGATTTGGTAAGGCCCCGCTCTTGTCATGGTAACAAGCTCCATGCCACCAACTGCCTTACAGTGTCAAAAAGCCCTATTCCACTTCTTTCTGGCCTGTGAGGACAATGAGGGGCAGCGGTTAATATGAGCAGAGGAGCTCCAACCTTTGGTGGTCTTGGGTGGCCTGAGCTGAGAACTCTGGCAACTCACAAGTGCTCTGGAAATGTGTCTTTGAACTCAGGGCCTGGGCCATCCCCTCCCAGTGTGATATGTAGAAGCTGGCAAAGGGAAAATCCAATTTCTTTTGAAGACAGAACCACTGAGGAACCTTTGAGGTCCACAGAGTAGTCTTACCAAGAGCCCTCAGTTCAGGAGTGGTTACCATGAACCACCACTTTATCCCTTCATGACTGGGGAGACAAATTTCACAGCACCAAACCCCACTGAGATAGAGTCCTCCTGGGCCTTGGCTCCTGAAAGGTGGGACTTGTTAATGAGTCATTCATTAGTCCAGGGGACAGCAGTCAATTTTGAAGTGAAATCAAGGAAAGAATATCAGCAGAGTAAAAAGAATCTCATTACCTGACTCACAGAGTGTATTCGTTTAGATGTCAGTTCACCGTATAAAATGTAGCTCTCTCTCAGGGTCCTAGTCAAAAAGTTTAGAAAAATGATGTCAGAACAAAGCCCAGATCCAACAAGAAAACACTGAGGCATCTGAGCTCTGAGGCTCTGCTTTCTGAGACATGATCCCCAAAGTGATCTCCTTAGGATAGGGCCTACCTCTGGGTCTTGACCCTATTCCCCAGTACTGGTGATGTGTCTTCATCTAGTGACACAGGACTTGAATAGCAGCCCTGGGCTGGTGCTGAGAATCTAGTAGTGAACAGAAGTGAGATGTCGCCTGGGGCTCACCCTGAGGTGAGGGAGATGCACAGTAGGGGAAATAGCCAAGCTGATAATTCACTGAAGGTCACAAGGACTGGGCAAGGCCAGGAGAGAGTCTGACACAGAAGGAATTCCAGGGCAGGCCTTCTAAGGAAGAGACTTAGACTAAATTATAAAGGATGAAGAGGAATTAGTCAACTGGGATGGGCCTGAAAGAGATACAAGTTGGGGGAAGGACACACACAAAGGCTCAGAGTGGGAGACATCAAGAGGTTGGGTGTGATAGTGCATGCCTGGAATTCCAGCAACCAGAGGCTGAATGAAAAAGATCAAGAGTTCATGGCCAGGCTGGACTATATAAAGAATCACTTAGGAGGCAAACCTCTGGGCATTTGTGTGAGTAAGTTTCTAGATTGGGTTAACTGAGATAGAAAAACATGCTCTAAATGTAGGTGGCATCTCAAGGGACTGGAGTCTCAGACTGAGTAGGGACTGGGTCTCAGACTGAGTAAGGAGAAAGTGAGGCTGAGCGCCAGAATTCACTCTGCTTCTGGACCGTGGACTCAACTTGACAAGTTGCCTTATGCGCCTGTTGACAGGCCTTTCCTGCCATTACAGACTATACCTTCAAACTGCATGCAAAGGAAACCGCCTCTTCAAGTTGCTTTTGTCACAACAATGTTAAAAGTAACTAACATACCATGTCTCAAAAAAAAAAAAAGAATCTGTGGTAGTGATGTGTTCTGGGCCCAGATGGCATGGAAGAGGGGGTGGGAGGAGGCTAAGGAGATAGGCAGAGACAGGGTATGAAAGGTCTGGGAGTCAGATCATGTATTTTGGTCTTTATCCTAAAAGCAAGCGAAACTTAATGAAGGCTGTAAAGCAGAAATGGCATGATCAGACCAGAGAGCATGTAATGGAGCAGTCATGAGAACTTGCTATGTCCAAAGAAGGGCCCCAGGCTCAGAGCAGCATGAGGGTGCTGCAGAGGGTCCGAGGGTCCTATAGGGCTGCTTAGGAAACATGACACAACTTTGTATAGAGGAGGATGGAGGTGTCAGGGACCATAGCATGTCATCTGACATAACAGGATGACACAACTGGGTTGGGCATTTGGGGATCTGTGGCCACTTGGAGGTATCTGGAGACACCCAGAGGAAGATGTTAGTAGGAAGCTGGCCCTCTGACCCGGTTATGGTGAGATGGGAGGCCAGGGTAAAGGGAAGGCAGTATGGAGAGGTCACATGAAAGAGAACAAGAGAAAAGAGGCTGAGAGGGAGTGCTCAGAGACCAGAGCCCATGATGTCAACCTGAGGGAGGTGGCGCTTCCAGGAGGAAGAGGTCAAGACAGCCTAATGCCTGCCAAGGCTCAGAAGAAAGAAGACCTGAAAACGTAAACTCAGGTTCATGGAGCCTGCTGGGGAGCCCCGGGAGACCCAATTAATAGAGTGGCTGGAGAAGACTGGTATTAATATCAAAGCATTATTTGAGTAGGGCATATGTTTTCATTTCAGGGCTATGTGATGCACAAGTGTACGTTGGGGACACATATTGGGAAGGAATGTATAATAGTCCATAATAGTTTGTATAAAATTTGCTTTCTCCTTTTCACCAGCCTCAATGGAAACTTGATTAAGCCAGAAGAGGCCAAAGTCTTTGAAAATGAGAAGCGGATCATCTGTTTTTGATGAACATTTATTTGCTGTGCTGGGTCTTTAGCCTACATTACTCCTCAGGAACAGACGGTACTGTGCAGTCAGCAGGGAACACAGGATGCTGTGCAGGGCCTGTGATGAGGGGATTGTCAGTTTCCTACTCCTCCATCATGCCAGCTAATCACCCCTACAGAAGCTTTACAGGCAGTGCCCTTCTAGAGCCGCTGCTGGGATGTTGCCTAAGCAGTGTCTTGTGAACCAGTGTCATCACTGAAAACAGCAAATGTTTTCTATACTGTGAAGAGACTTCCTTGCCTATTTGTAACGATGTTGTCTGAAACTGAGGAATGAGATAGCAGAGGAGGCCAGCCTCAGTGCCCCTACATGCCAACCTGAAGGACCTATGGGACTGAGCTGGCCAGTCGCCTTCAGGGAAGACCTGGAGCCTTGGAAAGAAGGTGTACCCAGTGCCCTGGCCTTTTCCTGAAACCTTCCTCCATCAGTACTTCCCCTGTGCCAATCTATTATCTCCTCATAACTGTGGCTACTGAGGCAGGTCCACTGTGGGGAGGACCCATCTGAGGTCTCACAGGGAGCCATCAAGGGTTCGTCACAGGTTTTGGTTTCAGTCCTGGATTCTCCCTGGCTGCTGAAGAAGAAGATCAAAGCACTGTGCCTTCATAGTGCTGAGTGTCCACTCAAGGTTTTTACCCTGCCCTGGGAGGAAGAATCTATGAAAATCCTCCATAGGAGCAGGCTTGCTATGGTGCCCCTGACATCCCAAGCAAAACTTCTCTCTCCATTGACTGAGCCAGAAAGCCTCTTTCTGCTGAGTAGTTGACTGACTGAACACAGCTAGGACAGAGAGCCTGCTGGCAAAGTGTGGCAGATGACAAAGTGTGGCAGATACCCACCACCATGGTTGGCATGTGGAGGTGCTCAGCCTAGTGGGATGGGTGTGGACGTTACCAGAGAACTTGATCTTTTACCATCTCATTTGTTAATAAAATATTGAAAATGCTCACTATTTCTAATGGCCCAGTTCTGGGTTTTCTGAAGGGACTCAGCCTGGAAGGCGTGCTGTGAGCCTAGAGCCCCACCCTGACTCACTTCATGGGAGGTCCTGTCATGTCATGCTGTGCAGAGAGGGCCAACAAACAGAGGCCAGAGGCTTTGGTCTTTCATAGACTTCACCACCAACCAACGGACGAGAAAGGCAGAGGCAACATTCAAGACTGCTGAGTCTAGCCTCTGAATCCATTCAAGGATGCTTCTGAATCAGGATGCTTGGGCACATCAGCGTAGAGTGGGCCACATTTCCTACCGTTAATTCACAATAGGTCTCACAGATAGAGTTTGCTACCTTCCTTGGCTGGGAGGAGGGCCAGGTAGACCTGTGACCAGAGGCACTGAGCCAACAGGAACAACAAGAGGCAGTGCAGGAGCCCTACAACCCCATCTTTGTCTTCCCAGAGTTCAAGTGTGGCTTTGTGTGGCAGCCTGTAAGGGAGGTGCAGTTACTGGGGGAAATCCTGTAGGACAGGTCACTCTACAAGGAAAAGTCTCTTTAAAAGCACAGCTGTGGTGATTGCTCCTCCTTCCCCCAAGCTCCAGCATTCCCCTGATAATCATCCTCTGGGAGTAACTTCTCCCTAGCACAGACTGGCAGGAAATAGTGTGGCATGCTGAAGTCTAGTGGTGCTTGATTGCTGTTGGATAGGTGTGTCCTCCGAAGGACCAGCAACAGATGGATGTCTGAACTCTGAGACTCCATAGAAAGGGAGGGAGTCACCCCAGTCAGCTTCAATTGCATGAGGGGGAGAGTCTAAGGATAGACATGGAAGAAACCAGGGAGGAGGACGGCACTTTGCCATCTTGAGCCAGGAGGGAGGTGGGGCACCCCTCAGTGGCCACAGATCTGGAAGACTTAGCCAAGATGTAGGGGAAAAAGCCCAGAGGTGTCTATACCTTTGTAAGTACACCTCCTCATCATCATAAGCTCTGTTGGCAAGCCCAAATAAATATCTTTATTCCCTAAACTGTAGCTTGGAGGAATATTGGTCGGTGGGTCATAAGGGAGCCACACATTTGCCTCCTAGCAGTAAATTTGACTTACAATTGCACACTCACTGAGTCTCACAAGAGCTTATCTGGGACAAAACACAGATTTTGTTAAACAGCTCAAATAAAACCCTCGAGAGGCTAAAATTTACTCAGAAAGTACCAAACACCATTGCTCTTAAGACTATCAAAACTGTGGCCTCTAGGGGATGAGGGTTAGTATGGTTTCTGAATTAAATTCTATTTGTAGTACCTCAGACTTCCTGATGGCGAAAGGGAATTCCTGCCTTCCTATATACTGAAAGCAGCCTCCTATTTTTGCCAGAAAGGCTTTCCACCACCCCAACAAGTAAATGACAGTGGGCTATGCAGTGGCCCACACCTGCAACTTCAGCACTCCGGAGACTAAGGCAGAAAGACCATGAATTCAAGGCCAGCCTAAGCTACATAGTGAGATTCAGTCTTGAAGTTCACGGATACAGCTCAGTGGTAAAGGACTTGCCTAGTACATCGCCATCTCTCCAACCTCCCTTCCAAAAGTAAAAGACAATGGAAAATTACAAAATGACCTCTATGAACTTTGAATATAATTTATTTCCATAGGATGTTTTGGCTAACTTTGGAGAAGAAAATTATAGCTTCTGTATTTCATAACTACAGTTATGTCTTATCTGTTCTTATATGGAACTTAAAAAAAATCTATCTATCTATCATCTATCTCTAGCAATCCTGTGTATGTGTGTGGGTACATGTGCCACAGCAAGCATGTAGATGTCAGAAAACCACCTTTGGGAGTCAATTCTCTCCTTCCACCATGTGGGTTCCAGGGATTAAACTCAGATCACCAGGTTTGGTGACAAATGCCTTTACCTGCTAAGCCATCTCGATATCCCATAACTTAGAGTATATGTGTACACATAGGTACGTACATGTGGAAGTCCAAGGACAACCTCATCTATTGCTCCTCAAGTACTGTCCACCTTTTTTTGCTTTTTAAAAAAAATTTATTTTTATTTTATGTGTATGAGTGTATTTTCTGCATGTGGGTAGGTGCACCTGTGTCATGCAATGCCCATGGAGGTCAGAAGGGTGCAGCAGACCCTTGGAACTGAAGTTACGGACAGTTGTTAGCTGCCATGTGGGTGCTGGAAATCCAACCTGGGTCCTCTGCTAGAGCAGCCAGTGCTGAGCCATCTCTCCAGACCCTTTTTTGGTCTTTTTTGAGATACGGTCTCCATGTAGCCCCAGCTGGCCTCGAACTCACTATGTAAACCAGGCTGGTCTTGAACCCACAGAGATCTACCTGCCTCTGCCTCCCAAGTACTGGAATTAAAAGCATGTGTCACCACGCCCGACCTACATTTTTATTTTTTAAGGAGGTTTTCACTGTAGCCCCAGATGGCCTCAAATGGGCTATGTTGATCAGGTTAGCCTCGAATTCACAGAGATCAGCCTGCCTCTGCCTCCTGAGATTAAAGGTATGTGCCACCATGCCAGGCTCCCCACCTGAAACAGGCTCTCCCATTGGCCTAGGACTCATCAACTAGGCTAGGCTACTCGACCAAAGAACCGCAGGGATCCTCTGTGCCTCCCCATCAATGAGAATACAAGACTTTTCTTTTTCTTTCACACAAGTTTGTTTTGATTGTTCTTTTTAAAACACAAGTTCTGGGGGATGGAGTTCAGGTCCTCATGCTTAGAGATAAACACTTTACCGACTGAGCAACCTCCCCAGCACTGGAACTTACTTTTTAAGTCACTGTGTGCCTGAGTGAGTTAGGTAAATGGCACTCCCACTCTGCCACAGCCTGGCTGGGTAGCTGTGGGCCTAGGACTGTTGGAATCTTGGTTTCTTCCTTGAAAAATGGGAATTCAATAGCACTAATTCAGGAGGTTGTTGAGGGGAAGAAATGAGATGCAGAGGGTGGTCCACAGTGCCTGGCACAGGAGCCCCTCTCCACAGGCACCAGTTACCATAAACTGTCTTCCTTGCTCCCTCTAAGGTGGACTCCCACCCATCCCTTCTCACTCGGGCTGAGAGGGCTTTCCAACAAGATCAAACTGTTACAGAGTTCAAGATCACTGGGAAAAGACCACTCAGACTCAAAAAGTTCCGAATCAGCCAGCGACAGCACTCTCTGAGCCAATTTAGAGAATGCTGCACTAACTGGGAGGGGACAGGACCTTTTAAAGGTAAAGTCCAAAAGGTAAAGACCTTGGTACAAGATTTACTCAAAGAGAAGCAGTCATGTTTGTTCCTGTAGGTAGGCAAGCAAGCTGTTACAGAAGCCAGATAAGCCTCAACTGGGGCCTCCCAGGATTATATGGGTGTGTTCCTCAGCTCTTCCTGGACCTTCTGGCCCCAGGTCGTGGTAAGGTCTTCGATGGCTCACCAAGATGTCTTATACAAAATGGAGGAGCTTGGGCTATTACAAAGCAGGACAGTGAAAAACCCTACAATCCTGGACATCAAACTTCCTTTGATATCCTAGCAGTCAGTGAAAACACAGCTGTTAGTCTCATCACTGTCACTGAAGAGCACTACTGTCAAGGTGTAGACTCACAGGTGGTGGCTGTGTCTCCATTGCACAAGAAAGAATGGGGGGGGGGGCGGAGGCAGCATTACTTTGCTGACCCAGGCCCATGAGCTGTCCCGATTTCTTCTCAGATCCTGTTATGGTTTCAATCTGAAATGTTCTCCACAATCTTCTGTGTTGAAGGCTTGGTTCTCAATACAGCAAAGTTCCAAGGTCGTGCTTCAGGGAAACAACTGTATAACGAAGGTTAATCCATTGATGGGTTAATGGAAGATGATGTGGGGCTTAGTTGAAGGAGGTAGGTCAATGGAGGCATGACCTTTGCATCTTGTTTGTGAGCCCCAACTTGCCACTCACTTGCTTGTTCTCTCCACTTCCCTGCCACCCTGAGGAGAGCAGCTTTCCTCCACCACACCCTTCTGCCTCACTCAGACATATAGACAGCCAAGGAACCATGGATTGAAACCATGACCCCAAAATAAACTTTTCTCCTTTCAGGTGATTTCTCTCTGGAATTTTGTCACAATAATGGAAAGTTAACACAGCTATTGAATAAGGAAGAAGCATTGGGCTCATCAATATTTTGGTCCATGTACAGGTGCGGCACACATCTGTTTCTAGTAACTGCCTAGTTTACAGAAACAAAACCTTGTTGAGGAGCTGAAAGGCTAAACCACAGCCAACTCTGTTGAGACTTTCAATGCAGTGGGATTGGTTCTAGAGGAGGCCAGGCCTCATGCTCACAAAGATGGGCATGTCCCTCTAACTGAGCTGCATACAAGTGGGGGCATCCCAGTGTTGTTCTCAACTAAGAATGTAAGGAACCACCTCACAACCAGCTTAAGATTTCTAGAGGCATCAAGCACCAGAAAGGCACTCTTTTTAATAAATATTTTATTATTTTTATTTTATGTGCATGAGTGTATTGCCTACATGTATGTAAGTACACCCATGTTGTGCAATGCCCATGGAGGTCAGAAGAGGGCATCAGATCCCCTGGAAATGGAGTTACAGACAGTTGTTAGCTGCCATGTGAGTGCCTGGAACTGAACCAGAGTCCTCTGCAAGAGCAGCCAGTGCTCCCAACAACTGAACCAGCCCCTCTTTAGTAACTTTAAAAATACAGAAAACAATAGTAAATTATAAAATAATTCCTTTAACAAGGATGCTAAATAGACTTGTGATCCCCCCCGCAGCCCCCAACTACTTAGTTACTTTTTGGAGCCAATAGTAAATGTCAAAATACCTTAAAACTTTTCCTTAGTTTTTTTTTCCTGACTCAGTATATTTGTTTTTGTTGTAAAAGCAATTCCATAATGTTAAAGGAACATCTTTACAATAATGTATATAATTATGGGACTGGAGAGAAGCCTCAGCAGCTAAGAGCACTGGCTGTTCAGGAAGGATTTATTTATTTTGTCTTTCAGTG